ACAGGATTTGCTTCAAAGATCACTGTTGGCCTCATTAATATGGATCATGCCATACATTTCATTCACAGATTGAAAAATGCAGTGCAAAATAAGGCTAATATTGTTTGCAATTACATATACGTCTGTGGTAGCATGTCTGTACTTCTATGAGCACGCACATGCATTTTCCTCTACGAGTATAGTGTAAAATTGGGAAACGCGCTGTGTAACAGTTCTGTATCTCTGAGGGACCAGACTAAATAGTTGTTGTGCACCATGGATTTGACTGCAGAATGGTGGTATTTCCCCACTCCCCCCCACTAAGTCTCCATGATGTGAGAGTTCCTTGCCTGTGGAGGAATTTACAGGAATTGTCAGGAAGATTTTTTTTTTTCAGAGAGCTTGGCACTGGCACGGGGATTGGAGCAGTCTCCTTGTTCAGCACTCGAAAAACATGGCTGGAGCCATGTATTTTTTGAGTGACTAGTCCTGTACACGTTTTCACAAAAGGATTTGACAGCACTTGAATGAAGTTAGGGTAGAGAGACCAATAGATGGAACTGGTGCTTGGCAGAAACACAAGGTAGAGCAGTTTTGAAACTTTGAATACAGAGATACTTTGTTGGAGCTCTGAGCTTGGACGTCTACGAGTATGAGCTTTGGTGCTGCCTTTGCTGTTAATCCATTACTGCCCAAGTTAACAAGAGGAATGACGTATGCAATAAATGAGGTCTAGGATCTGTATCCACATATTTATTTCCCAAAGAAGATTTTGAGCCATAGCAAAGGTTCAATCACTCAGCAACTTCTAAGAACTTGAACTAGGTGGCTTATTCACAAATGTCCATATACACTGTATCTAACACCTTACCCCATTATCCTGTAATTTCTGCATATTAAACCTATATGATAGGTCTGAATTTAGGGTGATGACATCATGGAAGTATGGTAATGTCAGTAACATCCCTGTACTGTAAAGGAGCAAGATTCCTTTTGTACGGGCCATGCATAGTACAAACGATCCTACTGTTTATATTTTGTAGGATTTAAAAATATAGACTACATTGATAATGGGTGAAAACAGACAATGTAACTTTTTAGAAAAGGTCTTCTATGAGTTTCTATATCTGCTAGATATATGATTCTTCATGACATTAATTTATCTTAACTATTACTGGCCCAGAGCTGCTCATTATTTGTCCTGGCAAGGGAAAGAAAACCTATGGTTATCACACCTGCACAAGATGTATGCTGGCATGGTACTTTTGACTACACAAGTAAACAAAGTTTTGACAAATCTATATACATATATATTTATATATCATGCAACTAACTACTAGTAAATGAGATAGGAAAAGTACTCTCATTGCTCACCTTCCTTGCTATTTAAAGAGAATTATTTTGTATATTTGGTGGCACTTTCAATGATAATTTAAGAGTCCCACTATATTAAGTTTAAGAGCAAGGCTTTTATACTTTATTCTCTAGACATTTTTTCAATTCATTCAAGTCAATGGGAGTGCTGTATGTGCAAGAGCATCAGAGGGGTAAGATGTTATCATCTAAGCCACTGAAACTCAAAAATTAGTTCAGAGAAAATGTAGGTATGCTATAAAGATGACACTAAAGATAAAAAGCGCTGTGTTTTTTATAGACATAATAACTGCAACAAACAGTTTCTGTAAATGTAGCAAATTGGAAATTATTAACTCTGGTCATAATATTGCTCTCATTTCTGGTACTTTCTAAAACAGAAAACACACCTTCTACCACTACAGATCACACAAACTACGTGCTAAAATAATAGAACTTTGCTGAATGCCATTTCAATTTCCAAACAGATAATTTTGGACAGGTTATTGAACAAACTACATGTATCTGAGGTACTGAAATAGTAAAGCTGGCCTTTTTTATTTATAATTATTTAACCTTCTGGAATACCATCATCACTTACGATATAAATCTGAACCAATACATGTATATTCAGCAGTATGGTATGCCATCAACTTCTACAGCAACAGAAAAAGAACACATCTTTACAGTGTTTATAACAAGCAGAATTAGGGGAGGATATAAAGTCTTAAAGTTGTTACACAATTTCTTTGTTATGCAGGAAAAACTCTGTAAAATACCCCATTTCAAAATCTGTTTCTTATTAGGCAGTTACAGAAAAAGAAAATAAAAATAGCATATGATTTACTGATATGCATTTTGTCCAAATCAGATTAGTTTATCTCTTTGCTCTATCCAAATTTAAGTACTTTAAAAATGCATAGCTACAGCCCTTTTTTGGTAGGATTTGCAAAACAAATTTCATTTTTGACAGCACTAGAAAAACTAAGCATCAAAACCTAAGCTATTAAGTAGGGCATATAATGTTCAAATTAAGAAATCAGTTATTGTCAAAAGCCATGGTAACCAATGGGGCCCTTCTAACAAAGGCCTGACCCTGCCATTGGCGCTCCCTTCTTGTGCACAATGTTTTCAACATTTTGAATGTAACTCGTGCACACGGGGTCATCCCCTGTAGATCTGTCCTCAGATTTAGATAAAATAAGGGAAGTGCTTAAGTTTCTGTGAACACTTAAGTCTGCTCTTTTTCAAGAAAGCACTTATATGCTGACTAGACCATAAAACACTTGCTTGTGTTAGAAATCTCCAGTAAAGCAGAACTGATTTCGTATCTCCTGTTTCTTAAGTAACACAAACTTGGATCTATAGAAACAGATGGGGCACACACAGCAAAAGGCACTGATGAGATCTGTTCTGGGATGCCATATGTACATGTAGTCATGCATGCACACGGAGATGAAAAGCACAAGAGGACAGCCATAAGAAGAATTGGGGAACAGTGTCCATCTACTTTTTGTGAGGAGATGGAGAAAAGCTGGCTTGGTTAGTCCTACAGAATGAATGCTGAGAGAGGATACGATTGCAGTCTATTAATACATCCTGAGATAAACACCAGGGAGGGAGAAGAGCTATTTCAGTGGACGACAATGTTGGCAGGAGAACAAATGACTGTGAAGTGGCCACAAGTTACACTTCTCCTGGAAATTGGAAGATTTCTAATTAAGAGAGGACCGAGGTTCTGGAGCAGCTTCCTACATCAGCAGTAGTGAGGGCAAAATACTGAAACACTTCCCAGCTAAAACTTGATCAGTTTACAAAAGGGACTCTATGATATGGCTGCCTGTAACTGTAGAAGACCGCGTGCAGTGAGCAAGCAGATGCCTCCCGGTCCTGTGTTTCTTCACTCATTTCTTACTAGATCATAGGCCAGCCAGAGTATGCTCTGTAGGAAGTCTTTTTTTCTTGGTTCACAGAGAAATTGAAGATGTTACTAGTGAAATCTTAAAAAAAATTATATAGGATGTATAATTTAAGTAAATTAATCTTCCTGCAAGAGCCTTAATTTATTTGCATCTCCTGGATTTCTGAGGATATATCCTTAATTTTCATTAACTGTTCTTTAATCTCTAATGCCTCAAAACTCTAACAATACCTATGAAATAAATAATGCATTTCTGCTCCAACTCTGATACATTCACTTGGGACTGTCTGCGTGAGCTGAAGCTTGCACGTCAAGGGACCTGTTGCCTTCATTTGGTTTCTTACGTAGCACGGCACAGCCATCTCCCACAGTTCAGCACTCTATCTCTCTCTGCGCACATTTAGTAGTTGTAGTTCTAATCTCCTTGTTAAGTAATGTACACTATTACACGGTCCTATCTCTATATTTTGCTGTAACAAGCTAAACTAAGTACGTGAAACAAAGAAATATACAAACAGGAATATTTTTGATCTAGCAAGGAAAATTTCATATTTTTTCCCTAAAGAAAACTGTCTTATTCAATGTATATTGAAATAACATGAAGTAAAAATATTTTCAAGTGCCCCACCCAAGACTGTAAATGTACTTTAATTCCACAGTTTTTGTTAGAATTAATGAAAGATACACAGCTAAAGTCCATGACGAAAACAGTTTAGTCTGTGCATAACAGCAGAAGGAATACACTCAGCTAAAGCTCATCTGACATTAGACTCAATGCCATTCTGACCTTGCTCAGCTGGCAGATGCTTTTCCGCTTGTGATTTGGCTTATATATGTCTGACATCCTCAATGGGCGAATTAACTGTAGTTAATTCTATGCAGATTACTTCTGCTGAAAATCACACGTTAAGAGGGTAGGAGGTTAAAGCCATAATGAAGTGGATGTCAGTAATGTCCATATCTATATTTCTAGGGTATTGGCAGCACTTTAATTTCCTTGGGACTCTACAGCAGAATATTGTTGGAGTTGTGAAGGTTTAAGCCAGCAACACGCCTGCATCCAGGTGAAACTTGAGAGGGTGGAGAAACCTCGCACGTTGTGGCTTGGAGCCTCAGAAAAGAAAATTGCAGATTGGTGAGTGGTTTTAGTGCACAGCACTTTATACCTCTTTTCTAAGGAAATAAATATTGCCAGGTTTTGCTACTACAAAAAAGTTCTGGGAGTCCAAGAGTGTCACATTGGCCAAGTACAGCAAACCTCTTCTATGAGACGGAAGACATTTTGCACCAGGATACACTTGGAGCTTGTGTTACTGCAATGCTGATTCAATATCCTCATCCAGTGTAACAATTTATTCTCCTTTAGCATATATAACTTGTTATATTTTTATTAAGTGCTATTGCCAAACTGACTATACAGTATGCTGCTTGAAAACATATTTTACATAATCTCTGTGATAGAAAGTTATATGGTAGCCTTTTTTCAAGTTTCTAAAATCTATTTATTGTGTGCCTAGTTGAATATCTTTTGTAATTCTTATTAGGCAAATGAAATAGCATATTTTTTCCATCAGCATTGTGATAAAGAATAGATTAAAAGAACACATGACTAGCTTGGCACTTGGTCAAGATATTTCTTCAGTGCTGTTCACTCTAAAGAACTATTTCAGTCAAATTCTGTGTTACTAAATCAAGGAATGGTGAAAATTTTGATGAAGATTTTTCCATAACATTGTATATTCCTTACCTGTGGGCAGTCTTTGATGTAGTGTCCCTTGTTAAAGCAAAGGTGGCACAGGTAGTTAGGAGGTGGCCTCTTGCTGGGTTTTCTGGCTTCTGAAGAAAGGGATAGGTCAGAGAAATGCTCGGTGAGGGAGCTTAACCCATCCACAATGTTATTAAGAGAGCCATAAGGTGATGCACTCTTGTACAGACTGCTGCTTAGAGCCTGCCAAAGAAAAAGAAAAAAGTCATATGAAACACAGTACTGAATTAAGGATTGTTCTGAGGCTGACCTGAGTAGGGGAAAGATAAAAATAGCAGAAAAAATGTGATTTTTTTTTTTCTTTTTTCATTAAGAACATGGCTGCATATTTGAGGAGAGCAATATACAGCCATTAATAAAGAGGGTTCACGAAGGCAGTGCAGTGGAGCTGGTCATCCTACTGCTGAGGAAACTATTGAGCTTGCCATGGTTCACTTAGTCCAACCTTTCCACTAAGCAACGCCTGCTTTTTTTGTGTTTGATCATACCACACTCATGGTTAGAATATGCAGGCAAAAAGCTGAAAGAACAACCCACAAAAGGGAATCTTTTTGTGTCCAAAACTACTTACACAAACAATACCGACGTCAGGGAAAGGAAAAGAAAACCAAGAAAAATGTAAAGTAATTTTTAATTTCTAATCTGATTGAGACAGTCAACATAGAGTCCCGTGTTCGAACAATAACAAGAAATGTTCAGAACTACATCTGTCTTGGATTTTCTAAGGGGAAACCTGCTGTGATTTAAACATTTCCTGATAAACAGTAAATACCTAGGTTTTATACTTCACCTCAATGGGATCTTCACTCTCTCAATCTGCAAATCAAAATCAGGAGCTCCTATTTGCCATTCAGTAGTTTCAGAACAGCAGGAAACCCATAATCACCTAAATAGCTAATCTCTCTGATGGAGATAACAAGGATTCATTCACTTTAATATGTCAAGGCTCAAAAGAAACTGTGCAGTAGGAGTTTTAAAAGTAAATTTTAACTTTAAAAAAAAATAATTAACATGGTAATGAATCACTATAGAAACAGGACCAATTATTGACAGTTCTCTCCACCCTGAAATGCTAGGACATATTTCGCAGGGTGTTTCTATGCTCAGTCCGATACACCTCACAGTAATGCTCATGTCACTCTCCTGGC